CATGTATAATGTGCAATGCACCCCCCCCCCCCCCCACCGCTTCCACATGACATCAGTGCCCCCATCTACAAATTCAAATTCAAATTCAATAGTAGGACCAACGCTGTGCCTCGTAAATCCTGCTTCATGAGAGATGTAGATAAGATAATTAAAAAATACCGATATTCCAACCAAAAAACGGTACACTGTGACCGCGTTCTCAGCAGGTCAGGACGCTTAAATCAATTTTCGGACAGAATGCGTGCAAGCGTCACCATGACAACAATCAATAAAGATAGGGTAGGTGATTTTTACATCAAAGATTAAGGGCATGATATGAGTGCTTTAGATTCACTATCACTTCTGATTGTTGTTATAGTAACGGGCCTTTGTTCACACCGCTTACGTTCTGCGGCATCTGGTGATATTTTAACGATTGTTCGTTTAACAAGTGTAATAATATTGATAATGATAACAATAACAAACGAACGGATAAACCATCATTAAGGAGTGCTAAAAACAAAAGTACCATATGATCATATCGCTCACAAAATAACAGAAATTAAAGAAGATAAGTGAAATACAAAGACTTAAATTTTAAATAAAAGGTAATTTGAAATAAGTTTCTGAGGATAAAATCTGTGTTTAGGGGTCTTTTGGAAGATTTCATAATCTTTTTTTAGTGTAGAATATGTGATTTTGATTTTGATTTTGTGCTTATGTGTCCGGTCGGAAAAAACTTCTTTGTGTTGGTGAATGAAATAAATACCGTTATTTACACTCTTTGAACTCAACATAATAATTTAACAATGTTTAGGGTGCCATTCCTAAGGGTTTCAACATACAATAAACTAGACCGGAAAACAAATAAACATTACATTATGTTATTTTATCATGTTAAATTCCGTTAAAAAGTCGGAATAATGTCATCACTTAGATATTTCTTCCAAAGAACAACCCTCCCTGCAGTCTACACTATAATTCCTTTTTGTTTTACCTTATTCACGGGATAATATCGCTGAATACAATTATCCAATACATTTGGGTGATGATAATTATGTGATAATAATGATGATAATGATGATATTATACCTTTTTTGTACCTAGCCTCATCACTTATCAGTATTAATACTGTGCTCGCTTAGGGCCTTGTTATCATACTTTTACCCCGGCTTTTACAATGGTAATGGTTTTATTAAAGCCAGATGGCTGAATTGCAGAATTCTGTATATTGTAAAAGCATAAATATTTATACAAACATAAATCGTATTATTGACTTTTTTAAATAAATCAGTGTACACACACACATATATATATATATATATATATATATATATATATATATATACAAATTCATAGAATTCATAAAATTCATAAAACAGCTAACAGTTGCTTAATTGTATTCCACAATCATCACAGGGCTGGAGGGAAATATAGAAGAGAGGTAGGGGGTAATAGTGCAGACAGCACAGGAGATCCAGGAAAAGTGTAAAATAGATAAAGGCAGAGGGAGAGAGGGAGAGAGAGAAATAGAGACAAAGCGAGAGACAGAGAGATATATATAAAAGATAATGCTGAGGATGAGAGTGTATATCAGATTATCGAAAATAAGGTAAAAAGTACAATTTCGACAGAAAGGATACTGGTTGCAAAAATTAATAAATTACAAACGAAAACCATTAGAATAGTTCATAACGCATGCATGCCTAATGGATCATCCAGTAACCATGTAGTCATGGTAATTTACGAATCAACATTCTGGGGTTCCATAAAATAACACAAATACCAATTAACTGCAGATGGATTGCTTCTTGCTTTTATTATGATTACCAGTACAAGAAATAGTCTCGTACATTATGAGTATAGCAAACGAGTACAAAACATTCTCTTTCTATATTTCGTACTATTCACCTAGTGACAAGGTATTCCATTAACCTGTTATATTGATGAATTGATTATTAATGAAACTCCCAATAAACCGATTTACTAACATATTCCAACGTATGGATGTTTCTTTCCTGGGGACCTAGCGATGAGGTATTCCATTAGCCGATATACTAACTCGGGACCAAGTGACAAGGTATTCCGTTAACCTATATATTGATGATATGATTATTAATGAAGCTCCCAATAAACCGTTTTACTAACATATTCTACTTAATAGATGTTTCTTTCCTGGGGACCTAGTGACGAGATATTCAATAACCCGCCACGATCTTTGTATTTCAAGTCAAGTGTTTAAACCATTAAAATACGACATCTCATTTATCACGAAGATTTATACAATTTCCCAACCAGAATATTTTAACATAGTTTCGGGCAATGTAATATACATGTATAAGGATAGCCTGTCCTACTTATTTCAAAGGATTAATTATCATAGATTTCATGACATGACAAATCGTATATTGTTAAATTTTTGATGCTCGTTGCATAAAGCTTTCTACTGATGGTAGCTTTGCCATCAATATAATTACTATATACCATGGCAACATCACTTAACAGCCAATCAAATCAAGGTTACCTGGTCCATTACCACTAATGCTAATTTTTATGCAATGTGGTTCTGGTAGTTAATATTAATAGCAAAGTTACCAATGCTAAGCTTTATGCAATGGGGTCATGGTAGTTAATGTTAATGGCAAAGTTAAAAATCAATGCTCAGTTTTATGCAATGGGGTCATGGTAGTTAATGTTAATGGCAAAGTTAAAATCCATGCTCAGTTTTATGCAATGGGGCACAGTAATGTAATTTTGTGACGTTATTCTAGCTATGCATTACCATTTGAAAAGGGTAAACAAATTAATCTAAATTAATTAAAATGCCAAAACACCCTGCTCATATTCGGAATGCCACTCGAATACAACTTTTCACTATTGAAAAATGAAAGACAAGGTCATTTAGCTTACTCAGTATGTACGTTCTGTCTCACAGCTTGGCAGATGATCTGTTCGCTGTGAATACCTGGCATTTGCTCAGGCGACAATTGTTCTGGGCTTTACTTCAACAAATGTATAGGATAAGATCATTAAGGTTAGGGTTGCAATTGGGTTTTAGATTATGTTCAGAGTCAGGGCAAGGGTTCTGGTTTGGGGTTGAAGTTAGGATTTCGGTAAGTGTAGGAAATTGACTCGGAGTAATTTTCGCAGGAGTAAAAAGAAATAAGAGCCGAGTAAGCGTAAAAACATGCTCGGATATGTCGTGGTACATGTACAATGTGCTTATTCACTTTATAGCTTTGTGTTGTTTTATTATAAGAAACAGAAATGTGAAGCGTTTTACAATTACGTCATCAATTAAAACCAAAACCACCACTTTTATCTCAACGAAGCTGGAACCTAGGGAGAGATTCGTACGAGAGAATGACACCTCCCGAGGTCTAGACAACCAGACATATCTGCCAACGCTTCGCCACTATTGTGTCAATAGAGGAAACAAAATAAAAGTCGAGGGGAAAAAACGTCATAGCGCACGTCTCCCAAAAGCTATTGAAAATTTACAGAATAATTCATATTTGCAAATGCGAATGGAAAAGTACAACGTGCGGCAAATTTCGTATTTTAGTACAAGAGATATTGATAATGAAAGCTTGGTTAAGTTCATGTTCATAAAAGTTCGTCTAGTGTATGTTCAGTATGAGTTTCATTGTGGCAACATTGGAATATTGTGTCTTGAAACAGTAGTAATAGCATATTATGTTCACCACCTTTCTCATTTGTTTGTTGTTACTGTCTTGCATAGTAAGACAGTAAAACCAAACTGAGAAAGGTGTTAAATAATAATGGAATCTACTGAACTTTAACATAAACGAATTGAGTCTTTAATTTATCTACCGCAGAGGATCTTAATTAATATACATCTAGCTCTAATATATTTGGTGGCGGTGATGAAGTAGTAGTTGTAGTAGGAGCAGTAGTAGTAAAAGTGTGTCTAGTGGTAGGACCTACAGATAGAAGTAATATGAATATTAATACCAGAAGGCGGAATTACCATCGATTTGCCTTTTGTTATTTCTTAACTGCATATAGATATCTAAACATACGTACACAAACTCATAAACACACATATATATATATATATATAAGCAAGTTTAGTGAAACTGCAATTTCTGACAGTGCTCAACTGTAGGAGCAAATGTAGATATAGGAGTTGGAAGGTTACACTTTATTGGTACGAGTATTATATTATTATATTATATTATATTATTGTATTATGTATTTACTTACTGATGAGCCTTCTGGCGAAACAGTCTGTATAACTCGTACCAATAAAGTGTAACCTTCCAACTCCTATATATATATATATATATATATATAATTTACATATAATAATCAAAACAGTTGAAATTAAAATCATTTTTGTCATGAATATATCATAGATATCATATATCAGTAATACATTTGGAGTGAAAAAGTGAGTCATTAAGGAGACATTGTCATCAGGATGACAATAATTATACAGAGACTGTCACAAGAAGATGACATTATTTTAAAAAATCATATCACAAAATCATAACTACACAACAGTAATACCTGTGCAGATGGTTTTATGTTTATTAATCAAAAAACAGCTTTTACTATTAACGAGTCTCCTGCTCATCCTCATAATGATATACACATAGACAAGGATAATGTATGATGTTGGTAACAAGACGTATATTGACGCTATATACAAGAACTTAGTCACCATCGTCATCAGAATTATCATCACCATCATCAGCATCTTCATCATAATCATCATCAGAATTATCATCACCATCATCATCAGAATTATCATCATCATAATCATTATCATGTATCGCCTATCCCTCGATATTGCTGATCAAAGCGTTTGGTACGCACGAGTACCAACATCATACAGTGACATTCTCTCCATATTTTTACATATTTAGATGTATCTACTAGTATATATCACAGCTGAAGTATATGCCATTACATATAAAGCAAGTGAAAATTAAAACCATAGGCCTACGACAAATATACTGAGCATGATAAATAAGCAATAAGCAATGATCTCTTACCTTCAACGTGGGTCTATCAATCGTTGTCCGCAGATGTCATCTGAAAAATATGAACGGCTCTAATTGATGACAATACGCACTGTGTATATGGAACCACATCACACTGGTCCCGAGCGATATGATTGGTTTATGCACGATTCACATTTAATCAGATATAGTTCATTGCGTTTTAATTGCACAGGCTATACCACGTGATCACATTTATCATATGCGCATATCTAAATAGAATAGGAACAGCGAATCCGAATAATAAGCGAAAGAATAATGAGGTTAGTATCTGAATTGATTTATTATATAAAACATTGCATTCGATCAATGTAGACCTGTAGTTCTTTAAATTGGAGTATTGTGGGGACTCCTGTATCTGGGCAAACCCGAGATGTGTCATTTTTTCCCACGAGAGTTCCAAACATCAGCTGATATGTTTTACGTCATTAGCAGCTTGGAAAGAGGTCACAAACAATTAGACTTTATTATTTATTGCTTTGCCTCACTATTCATAAAGGCAAAACATAGAAATGAATAATGACTGAGATTCGAACCAACAACTCCAACGTTGTATTACGCTGTCCTTACCGATTGAGCTAACGATGGTTTAATGATAGGTGGGTCTGCATGATTATTATAACCCTATCACTAACCCTAACATGTGTGCATGTTTAGCTAGCTAGCTAGACTCTTCTGATTGGCTGTATGCACACGAGTCAGACACGTGTGCCAGGTGGACACACCACTGGTTATGTCAGCATAATTAATGTAACTACATTAGAACATAATTACAAGGGCAACACTATTAGGCCTACATGAGCGATGTACTATGCGCATTTCGAGAGAAAAAGAGAAAAAGAAGTGAAATATTTGATATCATTGGGGGGAGTGTTGAGCGTGTGAATAAATTCATATGGTGATATTTGAAAATTAATGTGTGATCGCGTAAAATAAGGAGTAGTGCGATATCTCGAGAGATGAAAAACAAGAAAGAGTTAGAGATAAAACTGTGTGTATATATATATACATGTAGGCCTTATGGAGAAAGAGATGGAGAAACTTTTGTTCAATAGCTCAGCATAGAATATTTAGTAAATAGGTTTTTTGAAATACCGCCTCCTATACGCAACGTACGGGCTTAGCGACAACTATTGAAACTATTTGTAAATATTTGAATAACCAGTTTCCGGGAGGTTAATAATCATATTATGCCGAGGCCGCGGGTTTCATCCATGAATAGGTCAATAACAAAAAATAATCCTATAAAAAATGAATGACCATGTGACTGAATAGATTCTGGCGATACAGACATAATAATACGAATTGTGATAATGAATAGCGGTACATCGTCCCATATTTGGTCTTGTATTGCGTATAAAGTTCCAAAGCATTATATAGCTCTGATGGCATGTGTGTACATTGATTAGCTGGTTCGTTGGTGCAATACAATTTAATTGTGTTCCAGGATCTCCTGTGGTCTGGATTTGTTCCTCTTCCCTTTTTGTTTGATCAATGAGATATTTGGTGACTTGCATGGAATAAAAAAAATCAATGGTTTCTCACGCGTTATGACCTGTGTAAAAAGAACGTACAGCGGCCTGCTTAAAAGCAAAGAAAAGTCTCGGGCATTACGTACAACCTAAATATATCCTGAATAGATTATTGTCATTTTTTGTTTGTATTTTTTATTTAACAGTATGATAATAACTACTGGGTAGTTAAGAGTCACGGTAGTTATCCTGCGTCATTAATTCGTAATCTAGTGTAAAGGAATAACATTAGGCAGCGTGCCAAAAAAACAAACATTGGGCATTACGCACTGCTTAAAAATAACCCGTTTGCGCTTTTGTCTATCTTTTTAAATAGGCCATTTTCGTAATGTAACCAAATTTAATGCATAAGTCTTTGTGAAGTGCCTCAATACAAATTATTTCATTCACCTGATAGGAATAATAGTATTTCAATAGTCAGAATGCAACTGCATATATTAAGTGTTGCTAGGTAGGTCAAGCCATAATGTTTGTCCAACCTGGCAACAACTAATGTATGCAGTTCGGATTCTGTCTATTGAAATACTATTGTTCTTATCAGGTGAATGAAATAATTTGTATTGAGGCACTTCACAAAGACTTGTGCATTAAATTTGATTACATTACGAAAATGGTCTATTGTATTTCTTTTTATTTATAAGGCATATATTTATTCAACTGTTTGCAAATTTGTTATTATATCATCACAGTTAAAGTTGAGTTCTGGTCATGCGATTGCATGATTGTGAAGGAAACATTGTGGAATCGATCATAAAAGGTTGATCATCTAGTGTATGTACTGCAAGGTTCTGGAATCATCAAAATAATAAGAAATTTGGCCCAGTCTTGGTAAAGTTACAAGTACTGTACATACAAAGATTTATTTCGGAATACAGGAACATGTGGCATAAAAATCCGTTTCGATTTGTATGATGTTACATGCCATATTTAGAATATTAAGGCATTTGAAGAGCCATGCTTTTCAGGAAACATTTTCTTTCTGATGTTCCTCCATACTTGCATAATACAATGATAACCCTAACAAATTATTTTTCACCTCTTCCCAGAACTCAACCTTCTCGTTAAGACCCTTAAATATTCTGTTTCAAATGTTGCTATTGATAGTTCTTTGCGTTTTCTTTAATCTATTTCAACAGTATAAACGGGCTGCTCATGCATTTAATAATCGAGACAAAGATAAGTTTCAGCGATTCATAAACTGCGAAAAATGTGCATTAAAAAGAAGCAATTATTTCTTTTATTATTTACACATTTCTTATTGGAGCATTTATAGACCCTTGAAATATTCAGTTTCAACTGTTGCTATTGATCATTTATATGCATATTACTTTATCTATTTAAACAGTTAGAATGTAAACTCTCTATGGTACTTTCATATAGCGCTCCTAAATATTCGATATTATTATCATTAACGGCTGCTAAGTTCGGATAAAGTCAGTGTTAGGCGCTGTATAAACAAATATAGTTATTATTATTAACTTGCATGTAACAATCGAGACGAGGCTAAGTTTCAGTGCGTCATGACCTGCTTTAAATGAATAGAAAATCATGTCATGACTTTTTTTTTTCTTCTTTTTTTGTTAACCTCGTTTTTGTTCCCTTTTTGTGGTTAAAGTAGTACTGGGATTTTGGGGAGTCGTTTTGATGACGTAAAGAGTTAAAATATCCGCCCTTAAGTGTGTCGACTGGGCGATGGGGAAGAAAGAGAGAGAGGGGGGGGGGGAGCCGAAGAAAAGGGAGGAATTTAATTGATATCGTGTAATAATTTGATTGCAGCCACTGTATAGATATTCATTATTTTATATAAGTTCATTGTGTAAATCATTTCTAACATTGTCTGATTTCTATGTATCTCTTTGTTTTTAATATGTTTTTTAAACAATCTTTTGGTTGCAATAAATAGATAATGATATACTAGGAAGATGAAAAAGCAAGAGATGGGTAGAGAGAGAGAGAGAGAGAGAGGGGGGCGGAGTTGGAAGAACTGAAAGGGATGAGAGAAAAAAAAGGAGGAGGCGATAGAAAAAGGGAGAAAAAGGGAGAGAAAGGGGGGGGGAGGGTAGAAATACAAATTAAAGAGAAGAGAGGGAAAATGATAATCAAAAAGGTAAGAATTCTTTAAAATCATCGGGTTTCGACTGACGACATGCTATTATTTTCCTAGACTAATTGTCTTCATACAATTCTATGTGAATAGTTCATGGAAGATTCTAGGTCAAATCGCTTGGAACAAACTTCGTGGAGTACTAAAAAGGGTGAAACGTAGCTATTGACGACTGATGTTGATTAATTGATATGACAGATAAGTATCACAAAAAGGTGTATGCGTTTCAGAAGGACAAAGAGAGAGAAAAAAATAGAAGAGAGGGGAGAGAGAGAGAGAGAGAGAGAGGGGGGAAGAGAGAGAGAGAGAAAGAGAGGAAGAGAGAGAGAGAGAGAGAGGGGGGAGGCAAAGAGGGAGTTGTACTGGGGAACAGAAAGTCCACTCCTCTTAAATTCAGTTTATTATTTCGAAATTCATATTCCAATATTGTTTCCTGAGCAAATGTTAGTATTGATATATTAATTTGAAGATTGATAGAAATTGATGTTGATAGAAACCAAGACATGTATTCGTAAATCAAATCAGTAAGATGTTAGCATAGGAATGAAGACTGTCTTTTTGCAAGATATCATCTGCATTTGCCACGCTCGACCCATGGTAGGTTAATGGGTACCACGATGGCAGCCATGTTTCAGCTGGCTTAATTTAACATGTGGGGTGCCAGGAGTGTAAAGTCTGACAGACATGAGGGCTTTACAAAAACCCGCTATTATTCATTATCAAAGGTTCGAGGTAAAGGTATTGACCGCAGACAATGAAAGGGGAGAAATGAACGTTTAGTTCCCCCGACTTGGGATATCGGTCGACAGCGTTTGTAGTCGTATATTGTCTGAATGACTCACTAATAATACATCATGTATGCAATTTATATTTGTTGATGTACATACATTTTTACAACTTCCTCTTTTACTTCTTTTCTTCATGCTTCTCCTCTCCGTTTTTCTGGCTTCATGTTATATTCAGACACACAGACTGACACAGAGTAGGCTATGTTTTCCAAATGCGTCGGAACTCGGTTTCTTTATCTCTCTTGCCCATTATTCATCTATTATACATCTAGCCGACAAAGATGTCTGGCCATTTAGTGGCAGATGATTCATTTGCGGTTATTAGCAACAAATAGAAATCTTCACTGATTCTTCTGGTGAGCGTATATTGGGCTTCAATAAATTGTAGGGAATATTAAGAACCGGGCAGATTCTGGACTAGAGTCTGATAAGCATGGAGTTACGACCGAGACTGATGATGCGCATGAGAGTCTAGTCCAGAATCTGCACGGTCCTTTATAATTTTCCTACACACTTGATTAAAGCCGTCGAAGATGGCGTTATCAACAAACTCATAATTATGTTCACCAGCCCAGACTGGCGTCCTAATTTAATGATCACGCCATCATCGGCGGGTAGCAAGTAAGTA